GTTCGGCTCGTTACCGGCGCGGCGGCACATTGGGAGCGCTTTGAAAGCTCGCGTGCGGCGCGCCGGGGTCCGCCTACTATATAACCTCTTTGGCCTGCCTGCCTGGCCTGTGGATGGAGAGCGCGTTGCCCGGGCGCTGATGAGCTCCGCGAGGAGTCCGGGACCGCTCGCGCCCTTGGACGGCACTTATAAGAAAAGTAAAATAAAACACTGTCCAGTACAGTCCACATTGGTCATACGGTTTGTACTTTGGTGTACATTATTAGTAGTTTCGGTCCCGCACCGTTGCGAGTGGGTTTGCATGCTTTCATAGGCCATGGTGCAGAGGGAGCAGGCCAATCAGCTCGCACCGGCGAGTGCCATGAAACTCCCGGTACACGCCGACATCTACGCACTTGACTGGCCGTACCGCACTCGATGCAAGTCGTTAGTCGCCCTCCTCGAACGACAGATGATGTATGCGGTCCAGCAGTCCCCGAGCGGTGTGTCCTGCCCCGCCCATGCCATGGGCTCCTTTGAGCGAGCCCGAGCAAGCCCAGCGGGTGGTGCGCGGTGTCGGGGCGCCACTCACTGTACACGACTTGCGTCACTTACTCCTCTCGGTGGGTCAGATGGCGGCGGGGCGCGTCATGTTTCACCCGACGTGTGTGTGTGGTTCTGGCGGCCGCACGCGCATGGCGCACGGGACGCGATGTACTGTCCGACTCGCGGAGCAGCAAGTGAGCACCTCGCAGGTGCGTGGTGCCCGATGGTGCCCGGTGATTCTCGCTGGTGTCTGCATGAGGCCGCCCCTGCAGCGCCTCGTCTGGGCCGCACCCGTGGGAACCGCGCCCCCTCTCGGCTGCGGTCCGGGCATCTGGACTTCCTCTCTCATCGCATTCAGATCGAGTTCTCTTTTGAGAGAACGCGCGAGTAGGCGTATGATCATCATTGGGGGGGGGGGGGGGCGTTCAGCATCCGACAGTGCCCCGGGGCCGGACCGCACTGGCCGCCCCCGCCCGCCGCAGTTGTCAGGGCCCCGTGCGTGGCCTTTGGCGATGCGCAGGAGAAAAAGGGGAGAGGGGGCAAGGCGAGCGGGACCGGCTATAGGAGGTGGGTCCAAAGAGCTTGTATAGTATATAAACTCTTTGGGTGGGCCGACGACATGTCATGTGTGCCGGTGCCTCTTGTTCGACTGCTCTTTTGCGCTGTCAAGCTGGCGTCCCCCCATACATCACGTCGACGTCATTTGGCTTCACTCTGCTTCCAGCGGGTCGCTAGGGGTACTGCTCCCTCCTCTCGAGCCCTCCCCTCCCACCCGCTTCGTGCGCGGTCTTGAGTTACCCCTGTGGAGACGCGACACCAGCCTCGCCCACCCCTGGCCGTGGCGCTTGCAAGGGCGGGCGGCGCTCCCCCGCGCTCGCGACCGGCTGATCCACCGGC